ATTTTATTATTAAGTTTTGTTTGGTTGAATCAAATTTGTTAAACCATGTATGCAGGAATGTGATACGCTAAAGATCATTAATCATGTGTGGAAGATTATTCTCCTAATAGGTCCCCTTACGCCATAGTTTTAGGAGCTCTTGCTGCTTTCAGGGTTGAAATATTTGTCCTTCTGTGGATATACTACCGTTAATCATAGTATGGTTAACGCTTTTGCTGAGAGATGACATCATGAGATATCATCATTCCATCTACCACATGGTGAGATGACGATCACACTGGACGATGTCGTGTGTCTACTGCATCTTCTAATAAGAGAGAGGTTTTTAGACCATGAGAGGATAGACAATGATGAGGCATTGGAGTTGTTGGTAGAGTGCTTAGAAGTTACCCTAGATAGTGCTACGGAGGAGATAGACTTCACTTGTGGTGCTCATGTCATATTTAGGTATTTGCATAGGGTCTTCACGGAAGAGTGCATGCACAACATGCTGGTGGTGATCCTGAGCAGGTAGCCCAGCACAGAGCGTGTGCTATGAGATCATACATGTTGTATCTGGTTGAAACTGTCATTTTTATGGACACCAGTGTGACTTACATTGATTTCATGTACCTGTGGTGCTTGAAGACTTTAAGCGGATCCATGAGTGAAACTGGGAGGCCGCTTGTTTGGTGTACTTGTACTATAAACTGTCTGAAGGCTGTAAGTGGAAGACGATGCATATGATCGACAACATCATATTCCTGATGGTAAAATTTCTTGCTCTTATATTGTATGTGTGTCATTTGTAAATTATTTTGATGTCATTACTAACTAATGATTCTTGTTTTTTCAAGCATGGATCCTACATCACTTCCCTCACATATCGAGTTGGTCACTTGATACTATGTATACTCAAGTAAAGCCATGTGCCGCTGCATTCGACCCGCTTCGAGGGAACTAGGCGACAAAGTCGTTCCGGGTGTATATTGACTGGTTGGTGTTTGATGATATACACTTTCAAGCATATGTTGACCACCGTGTGACAATTTCATTTGATGACATTGTGTTGTACTCATGATGGTTGGCTTTGTGAGTCACATAAGATAGCTGCTTATTTGCCTGAGCGCGTCATGCGTGAGTTCGGGTACATGCAGTATATTCCCCGGGATCTTGTTGTGTCTGCTCCTCCCATGGTGAAACACATGGATATGGATGCCTTGTTTTATGATTATGAAAATCATCTGGTGCCAAATGAGGCTCAGAGTGCCTTAGCACCAGATGACTGGAGCTATGTGGACCGTTACATCCTATGGTTCTTCACGTTGTCTCATCCATATCTGGTATAGGATGCTCCATGAAACCCATCTAGACCAGCTTATTAGGAGATTCTAGAGGAGTAGCACGCTATGGCTGATCATGCTCGTGATGTGTTTCATAGGTGTTGCCGTATCGTGCAGATTGGACAGACAGGTATTGATGGAGGATTGTTTCTTGATGGCTCTGAGGTTAGAGGTGTTATATATGTCATCATAACGAAAGTTTGAGAGACTCTGAAGTACAGGAGGCAGCGGAGGAACATCAGGAGGGTCACGGGCCGACTCAGAGTCCGCCATACGCAGTAGTCCTCACAATTGTATATCTTGTATTATATTTTAGTTTGGATAATATTTTGTTTATTGACTTTGGATTATATTTAAATAATATTTTGGTTATATATATATATATATATATATATATATATATATATATATATATATATATATATATATATATATATATATATATATATATATATATATATATATATATATATATATATATATATATATATATATATATATATATATATATATATATATATATATATATATATATATATATATATATATATATATATATATATATATATATATATATATATATATATATATATATATATATATATATATATATATATATAAAATTCTGAAAACGCTTATTTTCAATGACATATATAACATAGAATGGCATAAGAATTTTCTTTTTTTTATTATTGGATTAACATAAATATTAAATTTGGAATATTTCTTCGGTTTTTTTTTTTCATTTTTAATGTATCACCTGATTTTTTTTTTCTTTCTAGTAGCTTAATGATTAGAATTTCATCTCTTAACAAGTGGATTTAGTCAAATATTACTGCACACCATTTGAATTGGATTTTAGTTGTTTTTCTTGTACTTCCCCTAATTCTTTTACATAAAAGAATATGCATGTCATCCTTTTTATATTTTTATTCAGGGGTCTACATAAATTGAACAGGGTTGGATTTGATCTAACTCACTATTTAACTCGTTTATAGGTTGGGTTCATCATCCAATCTGCATTTTTACTTTTCAAAACCAAAACAAATCAACTCAATTATTCACGGATTAGGTTGGTTTGTTAATTTTATATTCTTTTTATGGTTTGATTTAAATACATTTTTAATCCTTTATATTAATGATTTTTAACTTTTATCCCTCCATTTTAAAAAAAAAATTATTCTCAACTTTACCTTCTTTGCAATTATTTTGGTCGGATTTTTTTATAAATATATTTTAAAATTATTTAATATAAATTTTAAATCTAAGCTTAAAGGCCCAACTTTTTAAAAGTTCTGTCACGCCTTAAGCCCAATTTTTTAAAAGTTGTCTCAAGCACACAATTTGACACTAAAGGATGTTTGTTTCGTGGATTGCAAATTTATTTTCAAGAATGTAAGTTGGAATATTTTTTATTTCCATGTTTGTTTCATGATTTACTAAATTATGTCCAAGAATTTTGTATTCTCAAGAATTTAATTTACACATAATTTTGTTACTTTTTATGCACATGTTTCAGGATGAGAATTTTATATTCTCAAAGGAATAAGAAATAGCTACTCATAACTTTCTCACTTCCAAATATTTTAATTGAGTTAAATATATTTTTTAAATATTCTAAGAAAAATTTTTGCCTCACATATTTGAATAAAATTCTCAAGAATAACATTTCAAAAAAAAATATTTTTAATCCTTCAAAACAAACACACCATTAAAATAAGTGCTTGAAAAACGATGTGGGACTTCTTTCATCATTTTTTTGGTTGAAACTTTCCACTTCTTGTTGTCACTCAGCTGAAACTTGTTGGCATTGTTAGCATTGTACATACATGTTGCTGCAAAATATCATTGTCTAATCTTCCATGTTACATCATCATCTTGAAGCATGCAAAAGATAACATAGACGAACCATGATGTACCATCATCTTCCTCAATCTCTTTCCCTTTCTCCGAAACCATTTTATGTAATAGTGATGTGACATAGTACATAAGATATTTTACTATTGTAAGGATTTAGTGATTGTGTATGTTGTCATTATTATTTATTTAATATTTTGATGTTCCACATGTTCATTTGCACTTGTGATTTTCTATGCTTAGTCTCAGGATGCTACTAATAAAATTATGTCCTAATGACATTAGTTAAACTTCAAGTTAGCTACTAATTACTAGGCTGTAAGTTTGCTTGAATTGACCACTTATCCTTGATGCTACTAGTGTTACATTGTTGGAAACTACTCCAGCAATGCAACCAATCATAACTGCAGATTCCTCCATGGTTAAATTTCATGTGTTGCCTTTGCTTTGATGTCACTAAATCAGATGTATTACCTCCGTTTACCTCTGTTTAATGCTAACCTCCGTCTACCTCATGTTCAATGCTAGCTAACCTATGTTTACTCATTTTTCAATGACAAAGAAGTGAATGGAAAATCAGATGTATTAGGTTTTATTTCATGTGTTGCTTTTGCTTTGATGTCAAGACAAATTGACATTTAGAGAACACAGAAAAAGAAATGGGTTAAATGCATAATTGCTGCCTGTAATATAGATGGGTTTCGTTTTACCCCCTTAATTTATTTATTTTTGAATTAAATCAAAAAAAATATTTTACAGGGGATAATTTTTGCATTTAGGGAACAAAAGACTTGGTATTTTAAAATTTCAGAGGGGTATTTCAAGAAAAAAATTAAAAGAGAGTAAAACGAAATTCGCCTATATTGCAGGGGTTGCGCATTTAAGCCAAAAGAAATAAAGGTTAAACAAATCCTCACAATAAAACATTACATCTTAAAAGTTGCAGTGAGTGAAGTTATAGAGATGATTGTAAGGTAGCTTGTCTTACACTCAGCCAGTGGATTTGCCAATTTCTATGTAATGGAAAAAATTATTCAATATCGTAAGGAACAAGGAGAAACCAAACATAACAAAGAAATGCAGATATAATTGTTTTGTATACGAAATGCAGATATGGAGGAAAAGGTACAGAGTCACAGATTTAATTATTTTGTCAAAGAAACATACACTAGATTGCAGAGTTGCAGAATGCCACAACAGCCACGAAGAAAGATCAGTTGATGAACATGTTGACTCATGCAAGGTGGTGGAAGAGGAAGAAGATGTTTATATTTAATCCCACCTTGTTTTGTCTACAAATAGCTATAGTGTTTATAAAGCTAACACAAACATGGGTTAATGAATTGAAGGATGTCATCACTGCCATGTCAACAGAATTGGAGGTAAAGTTGAAAGACCAAAAAACTCATTTTTAAAATGGGGACTAAAAGTTAAAAATCATCAAACTAGGGAACCAAAAGTACATTTAAGCTTAATTTATATAATTTTCTTCATAATTAAATAGTTTGCACCAAAATTACAATATGGATCAACCAACACACATTTAGTATATTGGTACTATATTATTCCCTTAGTTAATTGATTTTCTGAGTTCCACATGAAGGAGGAATCAAAATTGTTGTCAACAACTACATAAGGGATTGTTGCTAATAGTGCAAACTCAACTCTAGCTGAAAATGCTCAAAAGAAGTCGTAGGTAATAGTTCCATAATTTGACAAGAATATACTTACATTCTAACATTCTCCCATCCTGTCTAGCCTACATGTCTACTGCTGAAGCATACAGCTTGCCTTTGATTACGCGCTTCATAGGGAGGTGTGTCATTCTGCTTCAAAATCCAAAAGGAAATCAGTCAAATTCTCAGAATCACCTAGAGCCTCATCCAGTGTCATAGGACCTTCTTTCTTTGGCTTTGGCTGCAAGTTTAAGGAAAGGTACACATTGTTAAGAATGAAGTAAGAAACATGTGAAATAGTTTTTTAGTTTTAGTAAAATACCTTTGATTTAAGAAGCTGGGGAGTAGTTTTCAAAACACTCCAATTACGAGTAATCTTCGATTCGTCTTCTTCTACTTCTTCATCTCCATCTGCTTCCACCTCTTCCTCTTCCTCTCCTGCTGCCTCTTCAACATCAATATCACTATCCTCTTCATCCTGGTCAATAGGTGAGAAATGAAAGGGGAAATGTTACTCACAATCAATCATTTAGGAACGGAACATGCTAGACGAGAGTAGGAGATGGTGAATCAAAGCTCACGTCATTTTCACCAATATCGACTGCTTTAGCCATAGCTACATCGATGTCTGACACCTGTCATATTGCAAATAATAAAGGGTATCAAATTATTACAATATCATGAACCCAGGTAAAAAATTAACAGTCTAGGTAATAATTCCACAAAATCTGTTGTCAATGAAATATAAAAACATGCTACAAATTTGTATGAGGTCATAAATTGTGACATCATATGTGTATCCTTCGGTAAAAGAATATTAAGAATTGAATGATATGTTGAATGATAAAGAGAAAGCTTAATCTTATCATATTTAACCTTTATCAGGGTTAATGTTAAATCCTGAAGAAAACAAAAAGAAACTGATGCAGCAACACAGATAATGAATTGAAATATGTGACTGAATATTATTGAACTTTGGGGAAAATTTACAGAAACACCGTCTGTTTGCAAAATAAGCCGTTCATTTTCAGTGTTATGAAATTCATAATTATTAGTACTTCCTTACCTCAACTTGTTCAGTCTTTTGCTTTTCCAGAAGCTTTTCTAGCTCCTCCCTTGAAATGATCTTTCCGTGCTGATCACATAATGGAAAAGAAGTTCAATACTAGTCACATAAATAAATAACCACATATTTCATTACAAAAATTGGACTATGCATCATGTCTGAAATTTGAAATTTCAATAAACATAAAAGGAATAGGTAAAATCATATATTTGAAGAAAATAACTGTAACAACAGTCTACAGCACTACACTAAAGATAAATATAAAAGAACAAAATCATAAAAACATGTTTTGTGCTCTTGGGATTATTCTTACCGGTGCAACAAGCAGAAGAGAACTTGAAAGGATTCGAATGCAAATAAACTTAACGGCAAATATTGTATCTCTACTTATAAAGCATAAACGAGAAAAGCAACAAATGATAGGAAATAAAAAAGCTGACTTAGAAAATAACCTCTTTCAGATAAGAAAGCATGTTAGGTGTTGGTTCGTGAAAATCTGGTCCCCTGTAGTCAATTACTTCATCTGGATCTTGAATATAGTTCACAGTTGGGTAAACTGGATCTCCACCCCATACTGCAGAAAGAAGGGAAAATTCTGAATTACTATTTTGGATTAAGAGTACCTCGAATCTAGAGTGAGCAAGTATTTGAGCAGTATATGTCAACGCATAAAGTATAAAGTCGTATCTATGCAAATAGTGAGTGGTTTAACAATGATACGTAGAGGTAAAATTTAATTGCTTAAATTTTTAGGTGCAGGGTCTAGTGATTCTTTGGCAAACAGTGCTAACTAGGGTTTTAATAATCATCAAATCATAAAAAGTAAGATGAATGGCTTAATAACAAGATGACTTGAAGAGGGAAAAAATATACAGACATGACAAAGATATTCATTTTAAAAGTCAATACTTTGCTTTATCTGATCCTCTCTCATTCGCATTGCTAAAGGATCCCTCTGGATGCGAATATCAGTCCCCATCATTATGCGATACTCTCCGGCAGTTTGATGGGAAAACATTTCAATTAGTTGAGCAGTTTCATCTTCACCGGTTTCTTCGAAATGCTTCTGAATAGCTTCACGCGATGTATCTCCCTTCCATGCCTTTACCCATTCTGAATAGTATGCAATTGGACCAATCCTTTCCATTTTTTCTTGCTCAGCCTCAAGCCTGCAAAAAATTGGATTTTTTTTTTGGCAGATTCTATTAGGTGAAGCAAAATGCTACGGAGAGCTTTAACAATCAACACTTTCCAAGTGAACTTTTCCAGGCAAATCAGCTTATAACAAGTTCCTATAGCCTTTTGTGGTAAACTTTATTGGGTAACTCCCCTTAATTTATGATGTTAATCACGTCAATTATCTTGAAGGTTATTCTGATGCATTTTATTTAGCCTTTCAAGAACTTATTCATTCTTCAATCAACTACTGTTCAACCTATTTATTGAGTTTCTTGTTTGCAGTGCTTCGTAAACAATTCCTATATGTTTTGCATTGGGATGCACTACAAAAGACACCACTTTCATTTCTATGCTTATCAAAACTATATTGTGAGCATAATAGTCGATAATACCTTTCTTCCTTATAAAGATGCCGTCTGGCTCGGTAAAGAGCAGTTTCTGTTAATGTTGGTTCTTCACCATAAAGCTTTACTTGTCCAGTTTCTGCCATAGCTTTCAGGAAAACCTGAAAAAATTATAGTGAAAATCCAATACAAGATGTAAGGCTTCACTCTCAACACCAGGCTTTGTGACTTCAACATATCGCACTGGCCTAACACAATCATGGAGTATCTAACATTAGCGAGGGAGCATCTAAGCATATCCTGCTACAACAAAATGATTTTATGGCAAGCTTAACTAATTCTTAGGTATAACAAACTACAATCAATCATAAAGCACAAAAATGAAGAATGCATACAGACACACACGCGCGTGCACGCACACACATTGTAATTACAACATTAAAAAAACTTTTACATGATGATTTAATGCACACTACTAACCGTTTCAGTGTCAGGTCTCCTCCTTTGCCATCTAGACCATTGTTCTTTCTCCGGCTTTCTCCAATTCCACCACAATTCTTCACTCGTAAGTGTCCCATCTATCGTCTTCTTAACTTCCGGATCAACAAACGGATGAGGAGCTCCAAATTTCTTATCAAGTTTGTACCCAGTAACCTCTTCTTCAGCCTCAGACTGATAAACAACATAGTCCGACGAGAACTCCTCCAAATCTTCCTGAGGTTGTTCAACCAAAACCTCAGGAAGACCGGTGTCATTACCCTCAACATTGCCCTCAACATTGTCCTCAACATCACCCTCAACAGAAGAACCAGAAACCGACGTTCTATAACTCTTCCTCCTACTCCCAGGGTTACTCCCATAAGACGGAGAACCTAACGATTCTCCCTTCGGAGTAGGCGCGCTAGCAGACCTAACTTGCTCAACAGTTCCTTCAGGCCAATACTCAACTTCAGGAATACTCGCCCTAGCACCCGAGGCCGGCTCAAGCTGACCGGAAGTGGAATCCATGTAACTATAATACGGCGGACGTTCAACCATTACATAATCAATAACTTCATCTTTCTTTTCATCATCTTTGTTAACTTCATCTTTCTTTTCATCATCTTTGTTAACTTCATCTTTCTTTTCACACCTTATGCAACTATATGAAGGTAATTTCCTCCGCGATTTTCGCAAATTAACTCTACACTGTAAATTTCCAACACCCACTAAGTGTGTTGATGCCTATAGGGTTGCAAGCATTTTACAAAAAAAAAAAAAAAAAAAAAAATTAGTTTCATATTAGATTACATATAATAAAACATAATCAAGCAAGATAAAATGAAATTTGTATTGATTTATATGTAAATTAGGTGAATGTCCGTAAAGAATTGAAATTTAGAAGATGCGAACCTGAAAGTGATTGAAGGACAAGTTGGGAAGAAGATTGGCTTGAATTGAAGACATGACGGTGTCGTTTTAGGAGAAAAGTGAAATATAGGTTTTGCAGAAGTGGTGATGAGAAAGATGAAACGTCGTCGTATTGGTGGTAACGGTGGAAAGCGGAGAGTGAGAAGGTTGCTCAGGTCGTACGTGTTAGTGCTGCTGCTGCTACCACCCTTATCATTTTCATTGTTCTCCGTTTCTATTTTTTTTTTTTTGAAATGCTATTGCCGTTTGTTTCGTAGATTGAAATATTTTTATATAGGTTGAAATATTAGATTGAAAACTTATTTTTATATAGGTTGAAATATTTTGCATTTCAATGTTTGTTTTAAATTTAATTAAATTATATTTAAGAATATTTTTATTTATAATTTTATCATTTTATATTTTTATATTATAGAGTGGAAATCTTGCATTCTTATGAAAATTTTATATTATTAATTGAAGTTGTTAAATTTAAAAAAAAAATGGAATTAAAACTAAGGTTAATTTAGTAATTATCAATATTAATTAATTAATTTTTTTATTTTTTATTTATTATTAACTAAAATTATTTATTCTCGTGATTTAAGGATTTATTTTTTATTTTATGTGACTAACTTTTTTTTTTAAATTGTGAATTTGAAAAACAATCATCTCAATAATAATTAATTATTAAATTATTAAATTAACTTATTTATATTAAAAATAAAATAAAAAATGTAAAAAAAAATTTAATAAATTTAATCCACACATTTCAAATAAAAAATATTCACTATCAATTAGATTTTATTAAATAATTAATTTATTAAATTTATTCTTATTAATTAAAGTTGTTAAGTCTCTTAAAGAATTTTTTAAAACCAAAACTAAAGTTAATTCAATAATTATTAATATTAGTTAATTAACTTTTTATTTATTTATTTATTATTAATTAAAATCACTCATTTTCATAATTTAATTATTTATTTTTATTTTATTTGTTTTATGTGGCTAACTTATTTATTTATTTTCTAAAATTGTGGATTTGAAAAATCATCATCTCAATCATAATTAATTAATTAAATTATTAAATTAAATTATTTATATTAAAAAAAAAAATTTTAAAAATGTTTCTAATAAACTTAACTCACACGTTTCAAATAAAAAATATTCACTATCAATTACGTTTTATCAAATAATTAGTTTATTAAAATTAATCTTATTAGTTAAAGTTATTAAGTCTCTTAAAAAAATTTTTAACTCAAAATTAAAGTTAATTTAATAATTATTAATATTAATTAATTTAATTATTATTTATTTATTTATTATTAATTAAAACCGCTCATTTCCATAATTTAAGAATTTATTTTTTATTTTATTTGTTTTTTATGGCTAACTTATTTATTTATTTCCGAAAATTGTGAATTTGAAAGCCATCATTTCAATAATAATTAATTAATATTTCAATAATAATTAATTAATTAAATTATAAAATTAACTTATTTACTTTAAAATAATATTATACAAAGTTAAAAAGTTATTCCTAATAAACTTAACCTACACGTTTCAAATAAAAAATACACACTATCAATTACATTTTATTAAATAATTAGTTTATTAAAATTAATCTAAATAAATGAATATTATTCTTAATAAATTGCATATCTTTACTCCTAATTAAATGCACATGTTCCAAGTAAAAACTGTTTTAACTTATTAAAATTAACTCTAATAAAAAAATATTGCTTCTATTATCATAAGATCTTCTTCTATATTATTTTTATATTTTAAATTATTTATTTTGTTGTTATTTTGTTGTATTAATTTTTTTCATTGTTATTGCAATTGCAGGTAGTATCTAAATAACAATAGTATTTAAAAATATTTTTACATGAATTTTATGGATCTTCTTTCTTTCTTCTTATTTTTTCTATTTTAAATTATTTATATTATTTATGTTGTTGCAATTTTGTTGTGTTAATTTTTTTCCAATATTATTGTAACTGCACGCAACATCTAAATTACAATGATATCTAAAAATATTTATAGATGATTTTTATAGTTCTTCTTTCTTTCTCCTCATTTTATCTATTTTAAATTAATTATTTTATTATAATTTTATTGTATTAATTTTTTTTAAGTTATTATTGTAATTGCAAATAATATCTAAAATATAAAGTATACAACGGTATCTAAAAATATTCATAGATGGAGTGTGAATCTCATTATCATTATTGTGATTTAGATTTATTTTATTATTATTTTTATTTATTTATTTATTTTAATTATAATATCGAAAAAGTTGGTATGAGAGTGGTGAATTAAAAGAAATGTCTTCTTTTTTGTTTTGTTTGTTAATTTTTTATTATTTTTTAACTAATCAATAATATTAAATTAATTAATATTAAAAATATATTTTCGGAATAAAATATAATATATGCTATAGAACTCCACTTTACTAAAAAAACACTAATAAGTGATAATCTAATTAAAAATAGTTATTAAATATTAATTTAAAGTATGGCTAGAATTAAGAAATTAATTTATGTAATTTTATGAAATAAAAAAAACAAAAATTAAGTGGTAATCTAATTACATTTTGTTTTTTATTTTATAAAATTACATAAATTTAGGTTACATATTACATCCACTACTAATTAAAATCAACCAATAAAAACTGACGTAACCAACAGTAATATATCAAAAGAAATCTCTCACTAGCACTAACCATGTATCATAACTTTTTTTTCTATTAATTTACTCATTAGTTAATAATAATTATTATTATTATTATTAGTTAATTAAATAAAAGATAGGATAAACAGTTTTTTTTATTACTATTTAAGTCTCTTTGTATAATCTATTAATTACAATAAATAATAATTATTCATAGACTTTTATTTATAATTGTCTAATTATACGTTCTCTTTTTTTAATATATAATAATAGATTTATTTTTTAGGAAGAAAGTGGATTAGAAGAAATCAACTGAGATATATAATATTAATTTTTTTTTAATTTTATTGATATTGTAATTTTGTCATTAAGCTCTAGACCATTTTTTAAAATCTTTTATTATATATAAAAATTTATTTTTTTCTATCTTAATTTCGTAAGTCTATTTATTTTTTATTTGAATGATTAATTTGATGTCAAATATAACTCATCTATTTTTTTAGTTATATGTTTTATAAAATTTATTTTAAATTGTTAAAAAATACTATAAAACATCAAAACAACTAAATTATATTGTAAGCTAGAGATGTAATTCATATAAAATTTATTTATATTAATATTATTTAAATTATATTAATTATAATTGATATTTAAATAAAAATAATTGTGCATCGCACGGGTGTATGTTTAAGTAAGAAGTAACCACTCATAACTTCTGATTCCTATATATTTTAATTCTTTTATTTTATATTTATTTTTTGAATTAAGTATATTTTATAAATATACTAAGGAAAATAATTGTTTTCAACAAAAACATAGATGAAAATAAAATTCTCAAGAATAATCCCATTATTCTTAAGATTATACTTTTAATCCATGAAACAAACACACCATATTATTTCAATTTCTCAGCTATTTAATCAAGTATTAGTTATTTTTGTTACTTAAAAGTACTCTTTGTGTCCCAAAATATTTTTCATGATACTTTCACGTAAATTAAGAAAATATGATAAATGAAAGAAAGATAATAACAATTGTTGTAATTGGTTATTGGTAAATTCAAATTATCATTAATGTAATAATAATACGACTTCTTTTTTTTTTGAGAAGGAGGGAGTAAATAATAATAATAATAATAATAATAATAATAATAATAATAATAATAATAATAATAATAATAATAATAATAATAATAATAATAATAATAATAATAATAATATATAAAGTTCTTTGACTCCGCAATAACGGTAAACACTGATTTATTTAGTAGTTGTATAGGAAATCAAAAGTAAAGCGCAAGTTCGAAACGGTAACATTTGACTTCTTCACCTTTAAATAAAAGGTGAATTTTAGTCATTAAGTTATTTGATAAAGGCTTTGTTTGATAAAAACATTGGTTGATTAATAAGCTAACTTATAGTTTATAGCTCATGACTGATGACTTATGACTAATAGCTTATAATTTATAAATAATGATTGATTATTGATAATTGATAAGCTAATTAATTCAACTATATCATAAATATAAAATGGCATAAGAGAATATTACTCCCTCCATCCTAAAATAATTGTCAGAGTTGTTTTAGTAAGCCTTACAACACACATAAGTTTTAGGTCCTCTCAATCAATATTTTATTCATTTGCTCATCTACACGATTGTGTTGATGCATTCATGGTACAATTCTCTCCATTCTAATTTCATACTCGTAATAAAACTTCTTGAATCAAGTGTATTTATATTCATCACCATTGTCAATCCATAAATTTTTTATCATCAATCATGTCCATTTTTCTGCCATGGCTTTCCATCTTTTGAAAGCATCAAATACTTTATACTTATGTTTATAAAGTATGCATATACCTTCTTAGACTAATCATTGTTAAATGCCATAAAATATAGTTTTCCACCAATAAATGAGATAATTGTTGTACCCCATACATCATAGTGAATAAGCTCGAGTCTATCTTTCTTTGAAATTCTTTCGTTTATCTGAAAGCTGACTCTTTTATGTTTTCCAAATATACAACCTTTATATATGTAATTTCTATTGATCAGATAATTGGTAGTTTTTTCTTTTAAGTGCATAACTTTCATCTATTTCTCACTCATATGGCCTAATCTCTGTTGCCATAGATTAGAACTTTCATTTTTTACAACTGCAATCATTTTCATTTGTTACAACTCCAATCAAATGACATGTTCCAATTATCTTTTAAAGAGTACTTTTTTTACCATGAGCAATCGTCATTGCATCATTTGAAATCTTTCCATCATTTTTCTAGTTACCTATGGTTAAATCTTATAACCTATTGATTTTAGGTATAAAAAAAGTATCTTAGTTAAAACAATAAGGACATTTGGTTGAAAAAAGGTTTCTCAGTTG